ACTCCAGGAAATGAATTTCCCTCTTAAAACTGCTTTCATTGCATCCCATAGATTCCGATATATTGTGTCTGTATTTTCATTCATCTCCAAGAATTTTTTGATTTCCTCCTTTATGTCTTCTGTGATTCATTGATCATTCAGTAACATATTGTTCATTTTCCAGGTGATGCAGGATTTTTCCTTCCTTCTTTTATCATTGATTTCCAGTTTCATTCCATTATGATCAGATAAGTTGCATGGTATTATCTCCACACCTTTATATTTACTAATAGTTGTCCTATGGCATAATATATGGTCTATCTTTGAGAAGGATCCATGTGCTGCTGAGAAGAATGTGTATCCACTTGATAATGGTTGATATATTCTATAAATGTCGGTTAAGTCTAGGTTATTGATTGTGTTATTGAGTTCTATAGTTTCTTTATTCAGCTTTTGTCTGGAGGATCTGTCCAATGGAGAGAGCGGTGTGTTGAAGTCACCCATAATTATTGTGTTGTGGTCTATTTGACTCTTGAACTTGAGGAGAGTTTGTTTTATGAACGTTGCAGCACCATTGTTTGGTGCATATATATTGATAATTGTTATGTCTTGTTGGTGGATGGTTCCTTTTAACAGTATATAGTGTCCTTCTTTATCCCTTTTGATTAACTTAGGTTTGAAGTTGATTTTATTCGATATGAGTATGGCCACTCCTGCTTGCTTCTGAGGACCATGTGAGTGGTATAATTTTTCCCAACCTTTCACCTTCAGTCTGTGTATGTCTTTTCCTATCATATGAGTCTCCTGAAGGCAGCATATTGTTGGATTTGTTTTTTTTAATCCAGGTTATTAGCCTATGTCTCTTGACTGGTGAATTTAAGCCATTAATGTTTAAGGTTACTAGTGATATATGGTTTGTACTTCCCGTCATGCTTGTTTATTTATTTATTTTAATATGGCTAGTTTTTCCTTTTTGGTTATTTTTTTTCCTTCCCTTTACTGAGTTACCTCCCACTGTTAGTTTTGGGTGCTGTTTTTCAATTCCTCTTCTTGTAGTGTTTTGCTCAAGATGCCTTGCAGTGCTGGTTTTCTGGCTGCGAATTCTTTTAACTTTTGTTTATCATGAAATATTTTAATTTCATTGTCAAATCTGAAACTTAATTTTGCTGGATACAGTATTCTTGGTTGGAATCCGTTATTTTTCAGCATTTGAAATACGTTGTTCCAGGATCTTCTCGCTTTCAAAGTCTGTGATGAAAAATCAGTCGTTAACCTAATTGGTTTACCCCTGAATGTAATCTGCCTCCTTTCTCTCGTAGCTTTTAATATTCTCTCCTTGTTCTGTATGTTCGCTATCTTCATAATTATATGTCTTGGAGTTGGTCTATTATGGTTTTGAATGTTTGGGGTCCTGTAGGCTTCCAGGATTTGGCAGTCCATTCCATCTTTCATCTCTGGGAAGTTTTCTAGGATTATTTCATTTAATAGGTTGTCCATTCCTTTGGTTTGAACCTCTATACCTTCTTCTATCCCAGTGACTCTCAAGTTTGTTTTTTTATGACATCCCATATCTCTTGGATAGATTGCTCGTGAGATTTAAGCATCCTTTCTGTGTTGACTATATTCTTTTCAAGTTGATAAACTTTGTCTTCATTATCTGATGTTCTGACTTCTACTTGATCTAGTCTATTTGTAATATTCTCGTTAGAGTTTTTAATTTGGTTTATGGTTTCCTGCATTTCTAGGATTACTGTTTGGTTTTTTTAAAAAATCTCTATCTCCTGGTAAAGCTCATTCTTTGCAGTTTGAATTTGTTTGTTTAACTCGTTTTCAAAATATACTTTTGTTGCTTGGACTTGCTGTCTCATGTCTTCTCTAATATTCCGTTCCATCTGAATTAGGTATGCCTTGAGTTCTTTCCCTGTCAATGTTTCTGATGCTTCTAGGTCCTCCTGTAGATTTAAGTTGTCCTGCATTGTTTGTAATCCTTTTTCCCTTTTTTTTTCATTTTGTTCATGTTACTTTCCAGTTCTATTTGACTGCTGTGTAACTGCTTTCTCCTATAAATTTGTTTTGGTTTTGTATATCTCTGTTGTCTCTCCTTTGTGGTGGGAGATTATGCCTAGAAATGTTGGGCTTTATTGTACTTTAAAGCTGATTCATTCAATTCATAAAAGGCTTCTGGGTTCTGTTTGTTTTGGTTTTTATAGTTCCACTATCTCTCCTTTGTATTAGGAGACAATGTTTAGAGATGTTGGATTTAATTGTGATTTAAGGTAAATTCATTGGTTTCATTAAAGGCCTTCAGATTTTGATGGCATATAGAGAACTGAGGTCTGGACTTAGGATTTTATGTTAAGGTCGGGCAATTTGATGGTATGGAGGTTAGTATATGTTAGCTTCTTTGGGGGGTCCTGCCGGCAGGACTCCACTCAAATGCAGGTGGATATTAACAAGAGAATAGACAGGAGTACTTGGGGGTAGTTAAGGGCTTAGGCGGACTATAGACCTATTCGTAGTATTCATCTATTTGCATTTATTAAGTTATATGTAGTCTGGGTGTTCATGCTTAAGAGGAAAGATGGGGAAAAGGTAAGGATGCAAACCAAGAAAGAGAGAGGGAGAGAAGAAAGAAAGAGAAAAGTATAGAAAAGAAAAGAAATGATAATAATAATAATAATAATAATAATATGCAGTAAAATAAAAATTACAATTGAAGAGAAAAAACATTACAATTGAAGAAGAAAAAAATAATTAACAAACATACAAAAAATTTAAAATTAAAAAATTAAAGTATTAAAAAAATTGAGAAAAGAGAAAAAAAAGGGTGGGGGCACTGTTAGGCTTCTATTTTCTGTGCTTCCCGTAGGTGGTGCTCTGCCTTCCGGGCCAAGATTTTGCCCTCTGGCTGTAGGATACAGTCCGTGTAAGGCCGCTCCCTCCTCCCCCGCTAGTGTCTCTCAAAAACCTGTTAGCTTAGGTTGATTCCTGGCCTCTCGTCCCCTGGCTTCTCCTGTTAGCCCGGCCTTCCCCAGTGTGATGCCTCTCGGCAGTTCAAACTGTACTCTGGGCCTGCAGTTTGCTGGGTGTGGAGGGTGGCTATTGGGAACCGGCACCCTATTGTTTTGATTTTTTCCGCTTTCCCCTCCCCCAGAGCTGGCAAGACAGGTTTCGTTTTAGCCGCTGATGGGAGGGGGAGTTGGAGGTCAGGTGTCTTTACCCTTTTGCCACATCTCTATGCAGGCTCGTTCTGATAATCCCTCCCCCGGAAAGCCTGGGAGAGATTTTATGCAAATTCCCCGCTGTATGGGAGATGGGCTGAGTAACACACACCTGTTTTATTGTTGCAATCTGTCGGAAACTGGTGTTGGTGACGTCAGCTCTCCAAGATGGTGGCCGCTGGCTTCCTTGGTGGACTTTCCCTTGCGGGGGATAGAACTGTACTGCTTCCTTCCCCGTCTCAGACCCCGAACTCAGCCCGGAGCTCAGTGAGGGCACAGCCAGCAGGACTCCACAGAATCCGTAGCGCCGTTTCTCTCTGCTTGCTGGTCGCTTCTCGGCGGTGCCCCGCCGTCTGTAGCCTCGAGGCAGGCCTCGGGGCAGGCGGCGGATCTGTCAGCCTGGATATCAGGTCGCACAGTTGGCTCGCGTTTGAGACTCAGTAACCGGTCCTCGGTGATGGAAATCCTTCCTCTAGGTTTCAGTGCACCCCAATTTTGCTGGAAATTCATAACAAGATAGCTTTTTGTTGTTCTAACTTGTTTCACCTGTGCAGTGACGCGGTACACGGGGTATGATGCACTCTATTCGCAGCCATCTTATCTCTCCCCCTTGAGAAGTATTCTTTATATTTAAAAATACAGAGTCTGTTTTTTGGGTTTATTTTCTTGGTAAATTTGCCAGAAAACATACAACTATTACCTGAATTCAGATATAGGAATTTATGCTGTTACTTCTGGAGATCCTTTGCATCATTCTGATATCATTGATATCTACTAGAGACCTTTGTGGGCACTATAGAAGTAGAGTTGATAGGCCAGTTTTAAATGGAAAATTTTCATATCCAAAGCTAGGGCCTTAGAGTTAGGTGATTAAAAGCCTGGGCTTTGAAGTCAGGTTTCGAATCCCAGATTTACAACATATTAGCAGTGTGACTCTAAGTTAATTAGCCTTTCTAAAGATTCACTATTTTGCCTGATTTAAAAGCAAACAAGCATAAAGTGTGTTAAGGATTTAGCAGTGTCTATTATGATAAATGGGAACTAAACAATAATTATTATCACTCTGCGTATCAATAATAACAAGAGCTAGCTGATGTACATTCTCATTCCCAGTGTTCTCAGCTCTGCACAATACTGATTCTGCAGGGCCTTAAGGAGCTGCTTTAAGGCTAATGCCTCATTGATGTTTTGCTTTGTTTTACCTCATCAACTCTGTTTTGTCCAGGCAGATGAATGGTCTAACTAATAGAGAGTTCATTTAATATAAATGTTATAAGGTTTAGCAAAGCTTTGAAGTTTTTGGTCAGAAGAATGTCTAGAAGCACATTAATAATTCATAAATTAGTATAAAAAAGGAAAAAGAAAATGCTAAATGTTAAACAGTGGGCACAATTCAAAGTTTCTGTTGCTATTTTAAAAGAATTGAGAAACATTTTGGAAGTTATGTGTAGTCCAGGTATAGCGTAAGCCTCTTTCTTTTTAACACACAGCCCTTGGGACACAAAGAGCCTCTCTCTACAGTTATAAAAGCAGTTCTCATGGGTTGGTTCTGTTTCTCATCTGAAAGGAAAACTCCTGTACCTGGGAAAGCCTTTTCTGGTAATAGAAGCCAAAGGCAATGTTTGGATCTACCATTAAATTAGAGCCTAATGGGAGTTTTGGAAAAGAAAAAAACACCTCATTTGTTCCAGAAACAGTGTTAAACACTGCCTGGCTCATAGTAGGACATCAAGTTATGTTTGCTGAGTAGTTGGATGAGGAGATAACTTAGAGATGTCTCTCTATGTGTTCTGACTTCAGAGGCACCAGAAACTGTTCAGCCGGGTGCCACAGCCCAGCCTGCCAGCTCACATTCTTTGCCACACATCAAGCAGCAGCTGTGGAATGAAGACTGCTACCATGGCAAGCTGAGCAGGAAGGCAGCTGAGAGCCTTTTGGTAAAGGATGGGGACTTTTTGGTTCGGGAGAGTGTGACATCCCCTGGGCAGTATGTACTGAGTGGACTACAGGGAGGCCAGGCAAAACATCTTCTCCTGGTGGATCCTGAAGGCAAGGTATCATTGATTTTTCATTACACATTTCACAGAATATTGTCTATTAAGGTTACTCTGAATGGTATCCAAAACTTGAGATTAAATAGTGTTTATGTTTAAGCATTTACTTTTTTTTGAACCTTCCATCTGGAGCAAGAGGTGCTAAGTAGAGACTAGTGGAAGAATTAGAGTGGGAGGCCAGGCTGGAACATTAAGTTAAGGATAATCTCTCTCTGTCCTTCTCATTCAATCCAATGAACAGCTACTACATGAAAGTACAAGGATTCAGCTGTGCTCCTATTGACTCTTGTTCAGTGTCACATAAGTAGTTCTTGCTCTCAGGAGGCTTATAATTTCATAAAATAGTGTTTAAATAATCATAACATAAAGCCAAATGAGATAAGGATGGTTCAACCAAAACATTATAATGTTTCTCAGTACAGAGAGATCATTGTGGTTGAGACAAACTGGGAAAACTTCTTATAGGATATGACATGTTAGGTAAACTATGAAAGAGTGAAGAATTTAAAAAGGGCATTTGGAGTACAGTGAAGGAGTGATAGGAACAGATGGAGTAATAGAATGGTATTAAGCCAATAGAAGATGTATGGGTGGAGCAGAGAATAACCTGTAGACATCTGGAAACGTTCTTTGGAGACGATGTATAGGGTGGAAATGCCTAATTTTCTAGACATTGGGGAGGAATTAGCAGTTTTAGAAGAAGGGAATGAGGCATGAAGAGGTGACATCAACCACAATAACAGCAGTAGTCCCAGTCCTCATTCTCCAACAGAAACACTGATTTGAAAATTCTGTATGGACCAAAATACTTTTATGAGAATCTTGGAATCCAGTTAATAAGTTAAAGTTGTCAAGGTGAGCATAAAACTGGGAATTATCAAGTTGAAATTGCTAAAAAGAGCAATTCCACTTTACCTATGGCAGTTCTCTCAAGCCAGCATAGCTTGGTATCAGGAGAGAATGCTCTGGATCATGACTTCTCCCTTCAAGGGTGAAAGAGAATGCATGGGATGGGAAGCGTGCATCCCATCCATTGCTCCAACTTTTCAGAGGACTGCCTGAGGGACTGGTTTCTGTCTTGCTCATATGGAGCACCTATGGACTTGGCATAATGGGATGCATCAGAGCTGATGAGAACAAAGAGCACAAAGTAGCTTGCTGCAGGTATTCTTTGCACAACCAGGAGACAGTGTACAACATGAGACTTCTCCTTCAGGAAGGGGTAGAACAAAATTTACATCCAGCATTCTGACTCTTTGGAGGGGCTCCTAATGGCCTGGTATCTCTCTTGCCTGACTTGGGTTGCTGATGGGAAGTCAGGATAGCTTGGAAGTCCATTGGCTACTGAGAGCAATAGTGAGAGACTTGCTGCTATAGAACAAAGGAGTTTGCAGTGCCATAAAAAGATACCAGAAAGAGGAAGAGAGTTCAAGCTTCTAAAAACTTGGCCTCTGTAATTGAGAAATTGAGTACACAGGCCCAGAGAAGTTTCATCTCCCCTCCATAAAAGGTTTTAGAGGCACCCAGAATCTCTAGCTGGTCTGATTGGTGAGTATATTCCCATATGTGAAGATAGTCTGTAAGGATTGATAGACGTAGCTGTTTTTCATGTGTGTGAATCCCAACACAAAGTTATGAGACACAAGAAGAGGCAGGGAAACATTGTCCTAACAAAGGAACAAGGTACATCTGCAGAAGCTGATCCTAAAGAAATAAAAGTATGCTTGCCTAGCATGTGTGAAGCCTTAGATTTGGTCCTCAATGCTGTAACAACAAACCTTGCTGATTATTTGAAGCTGGGGACGTAGCTTAGTGGTGGAGTGCATGCCTAGCATGTGCAAGGCTCTGGATTCAATCCCCAGCATGCACACTCACACATCCACACACCCAAACACCCACAATTAATTAATTAATTTAAAAAGGGAAATAGAGTTATCTGAATTACCTGACAAAGTAAAAGAGGTACCTGAATTCAAAGTAACCATCATAAAAGATGCTGTATGAGCTTAGGAACACAAACCATGAACAAAATGAAAAGCCAGCAAAGAGAAACAAAATATAAAAAGGAATCAAATAGAATTTTTGTAGCTAAAGAATATAACTGAACTAAAAACAACAAGTTTCCTCAAACAGAAGTAAGAATTAGTGAATAAGTGATCTTGAAGGTAAGTCAATTAATATTGTCCAGACCCAGGTACAAAAAGAAAAAAAAAGATAAAGATGCATAAAGGACTATAGGACACCATCAGATGGACAGGAATCCAAAAAGTCAAACACAGAAAGGGAATAGAAAGCTTATTTTAAAAAATAATGACTGAAAGTGTCCCAAACTTGGGGAAGAAAATAGACATCGGACTCAATAAGCTCAAAAGACTTCAACTATGAGAAATTCAAAGAAGTATACACCAAGACATAGTATAACCAAATCATCAAAACAGAGAGTTCAAAAGCAGCAGGAGAAATGTTCATCATGTACAAAAGAACTCACTTAAGATTATCAATGGATTGCTCATATTTTCCACAAAACAATGAGTGGATTTGGTATATTCAATATTCTGAAAGAAAAAAATTTTACCATTCAAAACTACTACATCTGGCAAAAAAATGACAGATGAGATAACCAAAATCTGAAGGTGTTCATTATCACTATCCATCCCTTACAAGAAATGCTAAATGGAATTGTTTATGATGAACCAAGCAACATGAAAATTTAAAGGTCACTGGTAAAGGTAAATATTATAGACAAAGAATACTGTTACACTGTAATGGTGGTGTATAAATAGCTTTTAATTCTGGTATAGAAAATAAGACAAAACTATAAACAATAACTATAAAAATATATTAATGGATATATGGTATGAAAAGATGTAATTTGTGAAAGCAATAACAGTATGCATGTATAGAATTTAAAATGTACAGTATTTATATGCTGTTGAAGTTGCTACTAATAGCTTAAAATAGATTATTATCATTTAAGATGTTTTTTGTAAGCCCTATGGTAACTACAAATAACATACATAAAGAAGATACACTAAAGAAATTGACAGCTATTGGTACATGCCTGTAATTCCAGTCGCTCAGGAGGCTGAAGCAGGAGGATCACAAGTTCAAAGTCAGCCTCAGCAACTTAGTGAGGCACTAAGCAACTTAGTGAGACCCTGTATCAAAATAAAAAATGGGCTGGGGATGTGCATTAGTGGTTAAGTGCCCTGGGTTCAATCCCTGGTACAAAACAAAAGACAAAGAAGTCAAAACATGTCACCACACAAAAAAATCAGTGAAATATAAAGCAAGACAGCAAAAGGTAGGACAAAAAAGACAGAAAACAGTTAATAAAATGGAGAGTTTTTTCCTATTAATAATTACTTTAAATGTAAATAAATTAAAATTCACACTCAAAAGACTAAGTGGCTGGATAGATTTTTTTAAAAAGTTGCAAAGATATGTTATCCACAAGTGGCTCACTTTAGATTTTTTTTGGTGTGTGTTGGGGGGAGGTACTAGGGATTGAACCCAGGGACATTTGACCACTGAGCTGCATCCCCAGGCCTATTTATTTTTAATATTTATATTTTAGTTGTAGTTGGACATGATACCTTTATTTTATTTATTTTTCTGTGGTGCTGAGGATTGAACCCAGGGCCTAGTCCATGCTAGGGCTACACTCTACTGCTGAGCCACAACCCCAGCCCTCCCCAAGCCTGTTTTGTATTTTATTTAGAGACAGGGTCTCACTGAGTTGCCTAGTGCCTCAATTTTGCTGAGGCTGGCTTTGAACTCTCCATCCTCCTGTCACTGGGATTATAGGTGTGTGCCACTGCATGTGGCTCACTATAGATTTAAAGACATATGTAGCTGAGATTAAAAGGATAGAAAAAGATTTACCATGCAAATGATAATCAAAAGAGAGCAGGAGTGGCTGAGTTTATATCAGACATAAATAGACTTTGTCAAAAACTGCTAAAAGTGTCAAAGAAGGACATTATCTATATTTTTGTGCCACTTTTCCCCTCTTTCTGTCTTGCTTTGTGTATCTCTGTCTTTCTTTCTTTTATTTTTTTGAGGTAACATCTTTGATTCCTTTCATTTTCTTTGTGTATTTTCTATAGGGATTTTATTTGTAGTTACAATGGAGCTTACATAAACAATTTATAGTCATAATAGTTTATTTTGAACTGATAATTCATTAGATTGTTAATTATAAGTGTATATAAATCCAAGAGCAGAGTACAAATATGTGAAGCAAACACTGGCAGAACTGAAGGGAGAAATAGAAAGCAGCACAGTGTTATTAGGGGATTTCATTACCTACTTTTCAATAATGAAAAGAATATCAGAAAGAAGACCAATGAAGAACAGAACTTGAAGACACTATAGACTAAATGGATCTAATAGATGTATACAGCAGCAGAATACACATTTTACTTAAGTATATACATAGTAAATTCACCAGGATAGGTCACATGCTAGGACACAAAACAAGTTTTTAAGAAATTAAAGATTGAAATAATACCAAATATCAATGGAAGAGACTAGAAATTGTAAAAGGAAAACAGTTATTTTTACAAATATGTAGAAATTAAACAACATACTCTTGAGCAAGCAGTGGGTTAAATAAAAAATTTAAAGGAAATTAGAAAATATCTTGACAAATGAAAATGAAAAATACTGTATTAAACTCACAGAATGCAGCAAAATCCTTACAGAGAGGGAAGTTTATAGTGACAAATGCCTACATTGAAAAGAAGAAAGATCTCAAATGATCTAAATTTCAACCCCAAAGAATTAGAAAAGTAAGACAAACTAAGCTCAATTTTTATAAAAAGAAAGAAAGAACTAAGATTAGAGTATGTATTGGTTAGCTTTGTATTAATCCAAGGGAATACCTAAGGCAGCTGATTTTATAAAGAAAAAGTTTTGTTTAGTTCATAGTTTGGAGACTGAAAATCCAAAAGGCACAGTGTAGGTTCGATGGTCATCCCTGGGTCACATCACTTCATAACACAGATGCAATGGTGGCTGCATGTGCAGGAGAAGTAAGTTATTACATTTTGAACCAGGAATAGAGAGGAGGCTGGGAGCCAACTCAGGCTCTCATTATAGTCCTCTTGAGAACTGCCAAGGAGTTCTACAAGAACTACTTTTTGAGGGCACACTTCTAATGACTTAAGGAACTATCCTTAGTCTTTACCTTACAAAGGTTCCACAGCACTTCCTAGTAATGCCTCTGTGAGGACCAAACCTTTAGTCATAATGAACCTTTGAGAGTCACTCAGACTGTAGACAAACCAGAGCAGAGCATAAACAAATGAAAAAACAATAGAAAGCAATAGAGAAAAATCAGTGACACTAAGAATTGTTTTTTGAAAACGTAAAGAAAATTGAGAAATCTTTAGCCAAGATAACTAAGAAAAATAAGACAAGTAAAATAAGAAATGAGGATACTACATAATTAAAAGAATTATAAGATACTACTATGTATAATTATCTGCCAGGAAATGGATAAATTCCTAAAAATCTAAACCTACCAAAACTGGATCATGAGGAAATAAAAAATCTGAATATACCTGAAACTGGTAAGGAGATTGAATCAGTAATCAAAAATCTCCCAATAAAGAAAAGCTCAGGACTAGTTTTTTTTTTTTAGATTCAATGAAATCCCAATGACTTTTTCAAATAGACATAGGAAAAATACTCCTAAAATTTATATGGAACCACAGAGAACCCTGAGTAGCCAGAACAGTCTTGAGAAAGACAATGCTGGAGGCCTTATATGCCTGATTTCAAAACATATTACAAAGCTGTATTAATCAAAATAATATGGTTCTAACACCTAGATTAATAGATTGATAAAGAGAGTTCAGGATTGAGCCCATTTATATGGTCAAATGACCTTCAACAAGGGTGCCAAAACTACATCATGGGAGAAGGATAGTGTCTTCAACAAATGAGGCTGGGAAAATTGAATATTCACATGGAAAGAAAGAAAGAGAGAGAGAAGGAGGGGGAGAGAGAAAAAAAAGAGAGGAAGGAAGGAATGAAGGAGTGAGGGAGGGAAGGAAGGTAGAAAGGAAGGAAGGATGGATAGACAAAAATCAACTCAAAATAGGATTAAATGGGGGCTGGGGTTGTGGCTCTGTGGTAGAACTGTGAAGAACTGGGTTTGATTCTCGAATTGTGAAGAACTGGGTTTGATTCTCAGCATGACATAAA